GCGCCTCCCTGGCCTGCGGGGGGGAAGCGCCCCCCGCGCCGCCAGAGGCGGCGACAGTGGGGGAAGCACCCCGCACTATCTGCGTCCCCCTGTCCTCCCGTTTGTAACTAGGGATCCGATGTAAGTCGGATTGATGTAACCCAGGGACTGCCTGTAGTCTAGATGCAGCCAGAGGGTTTTCATTTTGAGTTGCTACTTGTGATTGACAAAACTCCTCTGAGAACTCACTACTGCCCTAGTGAAATAGCACCATCCCTTTATTCTTACTATTCTTTCTTATCATTGCAGAGAAAGGCAAAGGCAAGAAGCAGAATGGCTTGCCCAGCAGGTAAATTACACTGTTAATACTTTCTTCTGTCTTGTTTGTTTCTGTCTCTTGCCCTAACCAATTAAAAAAAGAAAGAAAAAGCACCCATGACATTTCAGCTAAACTTATTACAGGAGTTGGCAGGTGAAGCCAAAAGAAACTTGATATGGTTGTTTGCAGGGGTGTGTCTTTCACATCACACTTCATTTCATTCTTGGCACACATTTGAGCTTTCCAGTGTCTATGGATAAATGTAACAACACTTTATCTTTTTATATGGAGGGAGAAGGGTTCTTTAAATGAACAGTATGGAAGGGTTAAGGAGGTTGAATGACAGAAAGTAAGGAATTGGAGGCTAACGCAAGACCCTTGTTTTTTTTTTTTTTTTTTTTTTTTAAATGCAGGCCAAGGAGGAGAGGAAGCAGCAGGATCTGGCAGCCATTCAAAAAGCCCAGAAGGAAGCAGAGCTGAAGCAAGAACTTCAGAAGCAGAAAGAAAATAAACAAGTGGAAGAAATCCTGCGCCTGGAGAAAGAGATTGAAGACCTGCAACGCATGAAGGAGCAGCAAGAGCTATCCTTGACAGAGGCTTCCTTGCAGAGGCTACAGCAGCTCCGAGATGAGGAACTCAAACGGCTCGAGGATGAGGCATGCCGAGCAGCTCAGGAATTCCTGGAGTCTCTGAACTTTGATGAGATTGATGAATGCGTCCGAAACATTGAGCGATCACTCTCTGTGGGGAGTGATTATTCTGCCACGCTCAGTGAACTGACTGGGAATGCATGCAGTGAAAAGCCCAACTTTAACTTCAGCCAGCCATACCCTGAAGAGGAAGTGGATGAGGGCTTTGAAGCTGATGATGACACATTCAAGGATTCACCCAATCCAAGTGAGCATGGCCATTCAGATCAGAGAACGAGTGGCATTAGAACAAGTGATGACTCTTCAGAAGAGGATCCTTATATGAATGACACAGTGGTGCCCACAAGCCCTGCTGCTAGCAACACTATGCTTATTGCTGCCGGCCACCACTCTCTCAGTCTCCACAACTCTTCGAGTGGTGAATCCACATACTGCGTGCCAGAGAGTGTATCTTGCAGACCCCAAAATTCTGAAGAACTAATTTCTCCGGAAGGGGATTATGATTATGATCAAGATGACTATGAAGATGGTGCCATCACTTCAGGCAGCAGCATCACCTTCTCTAATTCTCAAAGTAGCCAGTGGTCTCCTGACTACCGCTGCTCTGTGGGGACGTACAACAGTTCCGGAGCATACAGGTTCAGTTCTGAAGGAGCCCAGTCATCCGTGAGTACTTGTTTTTCTTGTTATCTACTTACACTGTGCATTTAGAAAAAATGGGAGTTAAATTTTACCTTAAAAGGTAAAAGTGTCAACTCCTATAAATAAGTGTGTCTGTGTCAGTTCCTATAAATATGTGTGTGCATCATATGCAGTTTGAATTTGCTTACACTGAACTTGGACATAGTTATCTACTGGCAATTAGATACCATTGAGATGGGTGTAGCAGAAATTCACAAACAGATGAGATGTGTGAATTGCATTCCTAATGAACCTCTGGTTACAGGATTATGTATCCTATTAGTTTTGATGCAGAACTTGCCATTAATTATAATCAGGAGTTACATGCCCTGACTAGGGAGTTCTGTGGAGAGGAGTGATTTCATTGTAAGAGGATTCAAACTACATATGCAGGATAGAATAATATTAAATCAGCAGTTTTCATAATGCCTTGAGAAACTAGATACACAAAACCTTTCTTTGTCAACAATAAATATCGTATGATAGAATCTGTATTTTGGGGCACATTTTTCTTCATAGGTGTTCCTCTAACGGGGTGTAGGCTTTCAGTCCTTTTATTTTTCTAACTATACATCTCCTGAAATAATTTGGTTTCATTTACCACATATACACCCAAGAGATTTATGGCTGGGAAAATAAAAGAACTGGAGCAGCCATTTGAAAACACACAAATATTGACTGGCTCTGAGGGCAGTAGCAGGACTAAAATATCTGTCTGTTTACTTCAGGCAGTACAATACAATGAGTTATTTTTACTCTTATTGCTCTTACCCTTGGAATAAGTTGCTATTTCTTAGAGTAATTTTAGGGAGGAGGAGTTTCTCATCAGCTTATCTTCTCGGGAAGTCTGCTGGACAAGAGCAGTCTTCAGGAGACATAACAGTTTTGTGAACAGAGGTTTAGGACCTGAGGATCTCTCCATATACGAATGTGTTTCTGGGAAAAAGAAAACCCTGGCACCCTTTCCCTCCTTGATATTTGAGAATTAGCTTAGGTGGTACTATTTGGGAACTTTTCTGTACCAGCTTTGCCTAGTATTTAGTGATCAATTTCCAATTCCCACCTCAGAGAATTAGTGAACAATAACATCTTCTATCCTACTATATTTCAACAGTTTGAACCAAAGACTCTTTCTAACCTCTGCCTCATCCCCTATGCAGTATCCATGTACAAAACCAGATCAGAAACTTGGCAAACCTCTGAACATGTAAGAGCTGAGGGGTGGGAGGAGAATTTGGAGGTGGGAGGAGTATCCCATCCCTTAAGGATACTTTGTAGATTTTCCTTTTTGAAGGCCTTCTGAGCTGAGTGTTACACACAGTCCTTGAGGGGTGGGAGGAGGTAGTGCACTCTAGTTGCACCCTTCAAAATGATAACTCTCCTTAACAGTGTAAAGCAGTTGCATATATTTGTTATATAGGCAGTCCCCGGGTTACGCACAAGATAGGGACTATAGGTTTGTTCTTAAGTTGAATTTGTATGTAACTCGGAACTGGCTCCAGATTCAGCCGCTGCTGCTGAAACTGACCAGGGGCCGACTACAGGAAGCTGGAGGCAGAATTGCTCTGCCCCCAGCTTCCTGGAATCAGCCACTGATCAGTTTCAACAGCGGCTGAATCTCGAGCCTGGGACAGAACAGCTGCCAGGTAGGTCCCTGCAGGACCAACCCAGCAGCACCCCAGCTGCTCTACCCCAGGGTCCACAACAAAAGCCTGGTCTGCTGGGGGGGGGGGGGGGGGGGGGC